TGAATTGAATTGAATTGAATACCTGACCTAATCCAGATGCTTCAGTCGCTTTTAGACCAGCTTGATATATTGCGCAAGTTCTTGTGGCCTTACTGGCAGCTTTCACATTGACACACTTTTCCTTAGGACACAATCTACTGCACAATACTCTTTAAGGACAGGGGAAGAGACAGCAGCAGCATGTTTGAGCTGGTTGGTTGTATCTGTAACACCTGTATTACAATGCCAGATACCACAAGTATGAAGACATTAAACACTCTTGTTGTAAAGACTGAGTTGAACAATTCACAGTTCCTGGAGCAACTGAAAGAACTTTAATACACTAAGATCCAACTGTTCAGTTATCTTTGGCAAGATGGTACTTGCTGAGCTCCACCTCAAACTGTTTGGCTGCAATAAAAAGAGGAGTGAGAACTGTTGCTCAGTATGAATGAGAAGTTATCAGGTCACATGTGGACTGCGGGTGTACGATTCAAACAAACAGAATATAAGTCACATGTACTCCAATCCGAAAGTTTTACTGTTACAGACATGCTATTACACATGTTATTACTATGTGCAACGTGAGATGGGGACAAATATTCAACACGTAGCTTAATTACATGATTAGTAATCATTCCGTGCCCTAGGGTTGGTTCATTTAACATTTCCTGCAGCATGCTTGTGCAGATGTGATGAAGATTTACGATTATCCAGTTTCTCGTGGAATGCTTATGGAAGTAAACCATCTGCCTTGTAACAGATACAGAATGTCTGGAATGTATTGTACTGGATTACACTGAAAGGGGCAGATTCAATTGGTTCCTTCATTACATACAAGCACACACTGCACCATAGAGTTTACATGTTTCCAACAGTGTTGAATGCACTTGAACACACCCCATGAGCAGAGCACTTGTTACAGTTGTTACAGCAGTATCTAAGCAAACAATCCCAAATCAATCATACACCAATAAATGCAACATTATATAACAATAAACTAGACAACAGGCAACACATACCTTACCCTGAGGCAGTTTTTAGTCATACAATCACTGTAAAGTCTGAATTGTTTGGTGAAAACTGCCATGACTCAATTCAGGAAGCACAGAACTATTGCAATCTGAGCCACTTACCAAGGAACTGGTTCTCTGAAGACATACAACATCAAGAGTTAGAAAAGAGATTACAATGTTAAAAATTAGCAGATAAGTAATTCAAATTAATAATTAGATTCCCTCCAGACATGTATTAAGACACATATACAAATAGTCTGCTTGAAACAATGTGTGCCTGATATCTTTTTGTTTTCTGCAAAAAAAGTATAATTTCCACATTAAAATCTTTAAAAAGTAATCTTCTTCTTCTACCTCTAGTATATGTGCACTGGGGGCTTCATGTTTCTACATCACACTGTAAAAGTTGGCAAACGTGTCACTGAATCCTTTTTTTTTTTGTTTAAAGGTACTGCACTGTACATGTGTTTAGAATTTTACCTGTAATACTGAGGCCTCTATAGTGACTCTCACCCAAAACACGCCTGGTGCTCATACCCATTCCTTACTCGCTAGCCACCATGGGTCAACGATTCCCCCATGAAAATCAATCCGCACCTAAGTCAGAACAAACACCTATACACTTCCCCTCTTGATGACCAGCAAAACCACGAAAGCGAATGGCAGCTGTGTCGCTCACCTCGGTAACAATCACCACACTGACTTTTGGAGCGGACTCTCCTCTCTCCTCTTCGGCCGCGCGCGCGCGCGCGCGCGCGCGCGCGCGCGGGCTGACCGCTTCGCGCTGCTGACTACAAAACAGAAATGAATAATGGCAATTTGATGCACAGAGAAAGAAATCTTTTATTTTAATAATGAGTGTTAAAAGTTTATTTTAGAGCCCCCTCTCAAAAAAAAATTAAACAGATCATGTTTTCAGCGGAGCTCATGTCTTATTAAGAAGAGACAAGCTCCCTGTCACTCCCCTGTAGTTCTCACCCTGCAGATGGGAAGTGTGGGGTGAGAGTGGAGGTATGACATGCAGCAAAGGTCGCTGGCAGGAACATTGCGGTTATGTGGTATACCCTGTAACCACTCAGTGGAGTGTCTGCACTTGCTCTACTGCTGTAGCCTGTAAATTAATAAGGAATAATTTCACCTTCTCTACCCCTATTTGTATCTCAGAGGCCTGAAGAGGTCAAACTATTGTTTGTTTTGCCAGGGGTGTGTCCAGAGGGGAGGGCCACCCCAAGTCCCACCCAGTTATTCTCACCTCTGCCACTCTGCACTGTCTTTCAAAAGCTGTAGCGGGCTCCATTATAAAGCTTGGGAAGCTACTGGTATCATTTGAAACTAGATGACTTAACACATCCATTGACACCAACCATGCTAGCTTGTGGGGAAGGGGGCTTATAAGGCTCCAAATCTAGGCTAAATTTTGCCAATGGAAAAGCTGAAAAACATTTTTAAAGTGGTGTCTCCCCTTTGCAGACATGCACCTTCTGTTAATACCATGGTGTTTCCTGAAGCCTTCTCCACACTACCAAGAAGCATTCATTATTTATCGTTTTGTTGCCCTAAAAGTTGTCAAATTTAATCAAAATGTAGTATTCAAGTTATAAATGACTTTACATTTTTGGATATTAACTCATCCAAGGTTGATAAAATTGGGAATTTTAACCCCCAAAGGACCGGCTTGCTCTGAAGAGACACACAAGGCCTACCAAAATGCCACAGCTAAGTTAAAACAGAGACTTTTCCAATGATAAGAAGTGTAAATCTGTTGTTCTAGTGGTGTTCAGGTAATCAAACAACTTATTAAATAAGTAATAATTACTAACTGTTATATATTGTCAACATATCTAAGTATTATATCAAGGAATCATCATCCGACAACCATTTATAGGAAATATTTTGGCAATAGTATCTGGCCCCGCACCATGACTGGTTAAGCTTTGTACCTGTTTGAAATTGGTGGCTCAGGTTAAACAGGATGTTTCTGTTATAGAGAACTGAAAACCTGACATCACTTCCTGCCAAAAGGGTGTTCTGTTGTCTTGGCTAACTAAAGGC